CAACAGTGAAGCAAAAAAGACACATTCACTATTTGAACAACAGGCTTTACTGCAAGACAGTTTTTGTCATCCTCGACTATAAGGTTGTTGCCTGTCTCCCTCCTTAACACTTATACTACTCTCTTCCTCCATTACATTTTTTTGCTAGAAAATTCTCCATCTTCTTTTCATCTTTACTTTTCATTCTATGACTAGTATTTTTCTAAAAATAGCTATTTAGGAAAGCCCTCTGAGTTCAGATTGGGACTTTCACTTTTTTCTTTCCCCAGCTAGGTACCTATTTCAACCATCATTTTTAAGCTTCTTCCAAGAATAAATTCATACACATGAAAAAATAAAACTGGACTTTTTTCCTTACAGTGGGACAAGTCATATTTGTCCAGATTTTCATTATAATCTTTTTTCATATAAGCCAGAAATGAAATCACAAACTTTTTCCATGTTAGTCATACAAAGCACAGAACCACTAAGTAATGTTACCTAAGTCATAGCTAAAAAGTTTTCTAGCACAAAGTTGCATGAGAACACAAATTTGGAATGCAAGAGATATTTTTCACTTAAAGGTGCTCTTGCAGCTCAAAGGAAGACAACTTATTAGAAAAGCCATGTTTGCTTATTATAACCTTGCCCAAAGATTATGTAGCATGCCTGGAGAAAATCATGGCATCCCTGGTGTATGCTAGTCTCTGAACAATGACAAGTTGATGTCATTCACTGGTACCTTCCTTGTGGCATTGCTAGAGGATGTATGATCCTCTTGCATCATACTCTTTTCAGGATTCAGGTCTTAATTAACACTTTGAGTCATATTAGCCCCAATGGTAAAACTCTCTGTGCAATCATTAGTAACACTTCCATTCAACTCCACTCCCAATTTCAGAGAAAATGTGACCCAGCAGATTTAAGACTTAAATTTCATATAAATAATTCAGCTTCAGTAGATAAAGTTTACAAAATGCCAGCATAAAGATAGTCCTTGAAAAAAGAAGAGAAATGGAAGATGAGGAAATTCTCTTAGCAGAAAGTAATAGTTCAGATGCAGAAGATAATATGTGAGTGTCTCCTGTATATAAAAATAAACTAGAGGAAGGTTTAAAATCAGAAGTCATTGAAAGTTCTGATTTAAATCCAGGATAACTACAAATAAAAAAACCAGTATAAATATCTGAGCTGTTAGGAGCTCTTAAGGTCAGGTGATAGCACAAGACGAACCAACATGAAGTGATGCAAAATTAATAACTGTGTAGAATATGAGCCAGCAAAGAGATCTGAGGAGGACTGAGATTAACAAAAAGAGTACTTCTCCCCTTAAGTAATGCCTTTTAGGCCTTTTCCTCTTTTCTTTTTTTCAGTCAGACTAAACCCCTGGGTATATGAATATACATCAGAATTACATTTTTTAAAGAAACAACAACAGAATTCCCCAGGACAGCTAACCTTGATAATGGTTGAGAAAAATGTCTGAATCAGAAATCAGAAGCTAAATCAAACAATGAAAATAATACTGAAAGCTTAATCACCTTAATAATAATAAAAATTATATTAATAAACTTCAGTCATTGTTTTCAGAGATTATACTCATTTGTTAATGCATTGGCTTTGGCTGTGTCTGGCATCTGACAGAAAAAGAAAAGTAAGTTTTCTCAGGTACCATCTATGACCAACCACCCTAGAAAGCTGTTCTAAAGAACTTGGTTTTGATAATTTTTTATTTTTAGAATGTATGTCGATTTAAAAAACAACTAGGATATACAGAGAAATTAAATACCACTTGCTTAAAAAAGCACTGTAAGTTACCCAATTTATACAGATATAAAATTAGGATTTGTGTATATAGATATAGATATATACGTGTGTGTGTGTGTGTGTGTGTATATATATATAAAATTAGGACACAAAAAGTACACAAAGTTCAGAGAAAGTTTTCGTCAGGCAAACATCTGAAATCTCACAATCTCTGTAAGACAGCTCGATCCTTGAACTGCAGTAGAGGAATGTTTCAACAGATCATTTCAATCTTTTTGCTGCAGAAATAACCTTATATATGCCTTGTTATCATGTAAATAATGTTTGTAAATTCTGGAGATTCCCAGGCAATTTAAAAAGAAGTAATTAAAAAAAAAAAAAAAAAAGATGTTCCAACACTGAAGGGAAGCATCATTGATCCGTATTTAAAGGATGGCAAATCAAATTCAGTTGTGTGAAGGGGGGGGGGGG